GTTTTACACTAGCGTTCCATCACTGAGGCGGGTATTGAGCAGTGCATTTTTCGACAAATAGGCAATTGTACAATGCTTTTTTTTTGTTTGTAATTATTAAGTGTGCTTAATTATGGTGTAGTGTGCTTTTATTGGTGAAGACCTGTAATTGGCTTTCTGTTGTTATTTAAGTTTTTATTATTTTTATTAATAGCTGTTGGCCTTCCAAAAAGTAAATAAATTCACTATTCCTAATTTTACTTCAGTGTTACTACAATAGCTTTTTATTATATTTGTAATTGTAATTGATATATTGTTTAATTATGTTTCTTATATTACTATTTATTTTAGTTAATATTATATTAAATTTCTCATTATAATATTCATTTAAAGAATAATATCACTTTTGTAAAAGGAGATACTTTTAATTTATTAGAAACTAGTGGCCTGCCCCCGCTTCGCTTCGGTGTAGAGCTGTAGTGTAGACTAAAATGACTCTTCATATAATTTTTTAACAAGTGTACGCAGACCAGGCAGCAGACGGAACTCGAACCCGCACCCTTCGCTATCCAGGCGAATGTACTGACCATTATGCTACAGCGGCCCTGACGGCCGTGTCGAATTTTCTCTAGCCTCAGGCTGTAATGCAGCGCCATCTCTTGGCATTGTAGGTAACCCACAATGTCAAATGAATACCTTTACAAGTATTAAACATTTGAAAGAAGAAATAGCAATTATAGTTATATTTTTGGATTTTTTAAGCATTTAACTGCTAGATGTTTAAATGTAAACAAAATTTTACTAGAAAAATTCCACGCGGTCCAGGCAACAGACGGGACTCAAACCCACACCCTTCGCTATCCGGGCGAATGCACTAACCATTATGCTACCGCGGCCCTGACGGCCGTGCCAATTTTTCTCTAGCCTTAGGCTGCAATGCAGCGCCATCTCTTGGCATTGTAGGTAACCCGTAATGTCAAATGAATACCTTTACAAGTATTATACAATTGAAAGAATAATAGCAATTATAGTTATATTTTTGGATTTTTTAAGCATTTAACCGCTAGATGTATAAATCTAAAGAAAATTTGACTAGCTATCCGGGCGCCAGCACCTGTCCCGTCAGCTGCCCGCTCGGCGTGGAATTTTTTCTAGTAAAATTTTGTTTAGATTTAAACATGTAGCAGTTAAATGCTTAAAAATCCAAAAATATAAAGAAAATTTTAGCCACATACTATATTTTTTTCTATTTTTTGCTAACTAATTTTTGGGGGAAAATTTTCGAAAATGCTATTTTTGATAGAAACAAAAAGTTAGTAACCCTACATACACAGTGGTACCGTAGTCACTACTAGCGGTGGGCGTTTAAACGAAAAACGCTTAAATAAGCGCGCTTAAAATATTAATAGCTTGTAAGCACGCTTTTAAGTGTAAGCGTTATAAGCTTTTCACTTAAAAAGTGTGAGTAAGCTTTTCACTTAAAAAAGTGCAAGTATATTTTTTACTTAAAAAGTGCAAATCCCGCCATCTATGTCTTTGCCAGGAAACTACATACTTCGATCCTTCTAGTCCACTACAGTATCGAAAAATGAGTACGCGGAATTCCTTGGAACTAAATATTTCAAAATATCACAGACTAGAACGCGCGACTACAGCGCCGCGTCGATATGCCATCTTTCGTGAGCCGGTTAATACAGCATGTGAATTATTATAATGCGACGTAAAAAATCCACTTTTTTAAAATTTGGTCGGATAACCAACGCTATTTTCGTTAAAAGCGTTTAATTAAACGAAGTCGAAAAGCAGTACGCTTGTCACTGACACGGGGTAGGAGCGCGTGGGTGTTGTACGGTGTGTTTGCATGCTTGCTTGTGTTAATGTGTTTCGTGTATTGGCTTAATGTGCATATAAAATAGTTAAAAGTATGTATACAAAATCAATGAACTTTTAAGTACGCCTGGATCACGAGTATATTAACTCCAGACAGTCCTAAGCTTGTAAATTACGAAGGAAAGTTCATTGACTATTATGAAAAAATTTATTATAAAATCTAAATTCAATTGAAAATCTTTCGTTTTTAATGCCAATCAATTCATTAGGTTTAAAAAAACTTTTTAATAAAAATTTCATTAATAAGAAGAAAAAACGCAATAAAACACTTAAACACATTAAAAACGACAATAAACTTTTCACGCTTTTTTAAACGATATACCTAAACGAAAACACAACACAACGTCGCGCTTTTTACGCATGCTTTGAAACGTTTAAGCCAATAACCGTTTAAACAAAAAAGCTTTTTTTCAAGCGCGCTTATTTTAAAAAGTACAACGTTTAAACGCTTTTAAGAAATAAGCCGTTTTTTCCATCTCTAGTCACTACCGTAGTCTGCGTCATTATGATCATGAGCAAGTTGCAATGACATGAAATAAGGGCTTGCCTCTATTAATCAGTTTTTAGCGCCGTGTAGGTAATGAACTTTCAGCTGGCAGTAAATATGAGAGTTACATTCTCTAGAGAAGACTCCTCCAAACAATTACTAACTATAGTAAACCTATGTTCCTGTCAAATGGATACCTTTCATTTCTTCCAAATTATTGTTTATAACCTAGTTTTTTAAAAAGCAGTATTTTTTTCGTGTTGTTAGTATTCCTTACTTGATTACTTTACGGTACAATACAAATATTGGACTTTTCACTGTATACATAAGTCAAACATATTATTGAACTTTATTTAACAATCATAAGTCCAAATAAAGCCAAGAATTTAGATACTTTTGTCTGTGAGTGATCTCCATAACCGTAATATGTAAGAAAGTAGAAAGCGAAGTAAAAAGTAAAAATTTGAAGAGCAACCCCATCGGTCATTCTCAGTCAGCTGATATGATTTTTGAGTCTATGCAATTACGAAGGGTTGATTATGTTTTTGAGATTAGTTCTAGCAACTATTTAATATATAATGTAATTATAATCCTAATTTCCATTACGAGATTAGGATATAACCACATTATACCTTTAATATTTTCAAAACAAGGTATGATTTCACATTACTGGCATAGATAAATGATTGGTGTCGTTACACTCCACTAGATACCGCGCTATCAAAAAACAACAGCTCCGGTTATGCGGCAACTCATTATCGTAGTGTGCGTAAATCACATTGCAAGGACGGTGTCGTATGTCAAAAAAAGTGTAGCCAGCTGCTCAACTACTACCCCAGTAATAGGGAAAATATTTTATGCTGTTGTCGATCCACACTAACAATACAAATTACAAAATCTGTACTTAATATATATGAATATATCATTTTTACAATTGTATATTGTTTGTGCGTCAGAACATAAATTTATATACGATGCGCGATGATGTACATAATTTTAATACCAGAAATAAAGATAAATCCAAATTGCCACCGTTGAGACTCCAAAAGGTTCTTGGTTCATTTGTGGGCCAAGATATATGTTACTATAATAAAATACCAAAAGAAATAATTAATTTACCTTTTGATAAGTTTAAAGTTTGTATAAAAGATTGTCTCCTTGTACTTGTAACACCATGAAGTCGGCCGCTAAACCGCACATTACTCGTAAGTCTCGAAAAAAAGCTTCCAACAAAATAGTAATAGGATCTCTTAGTCGCACATGTTGGGACGCTCGTCGCCTCTGATCACTGTTTTCATATTTATAATATTTATCCACATGTTTCTAGTTTCTATATTCTTAACACGTGTTATAATGTTATACAAATGCGAAATTTATATGTGCTAATAAATTTTATTCAGTAGTGATTTAAATTGAATATTTTGATTATTTATTAAATTTTTCAAATTAAAACTGAACTTTATTGACTGCGTTGACTATCCTTTTCCAATCCTTTTATTATCTTACTGTAATTAATTATCTGCATGCAATTAAAAACGATATTTTAATAATTCCAAAAAGAAGTATAACTTCTCACGCGCGTACTTAAGTACACGCACCCATTTTTTTTTTTGTGCAACGTTACATTTCTACCTTTTTTGTAGTAACATTTTAAAATTTATCAAATTTCTTCATCAGATTCACGCATCTTGACAGTAAGAAAAACAAATGAAAATTACACATTTTTCTAATTTGAATTTGGAAATGTGTTCTTAAAAATTTAAACATTTTAATAATACCAAAACCAGCCAGATGCATGCAACAATGATTTTGTATGTTGATAATTTCCATGTATGTGCAGACAAATGGTATAACCAAAGAGATTTTATTACAACCTATTATAATATGTACGTACCTACAAATTTGTACAGAACCCTCGGAGGGCGAGTCTGTTTTGACCTTGTAATTTTTTTTCTGTGTGTTAATTCTACCATTGCGACATCAAGTGAATGAGCTGCGAGACAAGGGACTTTTGTCCGCCGAGGACTTGCCAAGGACTCAAGGCCCACGATGTGTGAATATTTCATTTGTTGCCCGATAATTTAAAGAAACGCCCGCTATGGAAGTAAATATTCTCAGAATTCGTTGTGTTGTAATTAACATGAGGTTTAAGAAAAAGAGAAGATGTTTTAAAAGAGAATACTGGTTCTATTTCTTTAGATAGGATCGAGCGCGCATTGCGGACTTAAGTTTGCTGTGTGCATTGCTGCGTCTAGTCACATGAGTCCTATTTTTCGAGGATACCCGCGTACTGTCCCCTTAGCACGAACCAATATCGAATTCGTAACGTTTGCGAAATGTCATTGTCAAATGTGTACTGATTTTTAGTTCTCGTTACGTACTTTGTGGCGCTGCTCTTCAAGTTACCATACCAAATTTGACATTGACATTTCGCACTCGCAAACGTTACGAATTCGATATTAGTTAGTGCTAAGTTCCCTGTTGTCCTGTCCGGTCTCTCGGTGTTCTCGGTTGGAACTTATAATCCCTCTTGAGCGTTACCCGATGCAGTTGTAAGCGATTTATTTTGGCGGACAAAAAAGTCCCCGGACGAAAGCCCCTCATCTGCGCAGGCTATAAGAGTCATTATTTTTTTTAATTTCAGATATAATGGATGAGCTGAAAAAGTACAGCTACGCAGCCATGGAAAATGGTGGTATGATCAGAGGATGGCTCAGTCACATATTGTATTTATGTAAGTATTTTTATTTTCTAATGATCATAGAACTACCAGAATTCATTATATCTCTAAGACTGAAGCTGTGTTTGATGGACTTAATGAAAATTAAACATGAAAAGCGCGGTTGTTATCTCCATTTGTGAAAAAAGGTCCTTCAAAATTGTATTTAAGTAAGGGGTAAGGTTTTGGAACAATAACAAATATAACTTGAAATAAGCAGATAAAGCAGCAAGCACCCACTAGTGTTAAATAATATCTCGGTGCCGATGTAGCCTATCTATATTTTGGGACTAAGTTATTTTCTTAAAAATGGTATATCTTATATTTTCATAAAAGATTGACTTCTTGTCACCGATTCACCGATTTTATGTTTTTGAAGTTATACTTCTTTAGGCGTATTATGAAAAATTGATGAGAGTGAAATTTTAAGATGCGCGCGCATCACTGTAACACAAAAAATTAACCAAGTTACTTTTGTGTTTACCGCACATTAAGAAAATCTACCAACAAAATAGAAATAGAATCTCTATTTTGTGGGTGCTAACGACTGCATTGTGAAGGCATATCAAAAGTATTTATTAATCTGGAACAACTAGTGTTGAGTAGGACTTACAAGAGGCGGTACATTTGTCCCGGACTTGACGTCAAAATGTAAGAGCGGCTCAAAATTTTAAAATGTACTACTTCACATTAAATGTCGCGATAGTCGCGTCTCGTTACTCACTCACTCTTCGTAAGTCTGAGAGAGAGCGAGGCATGACATTTCATTTAAGTCCTCTACGCACTATCCATCTGTATCTCTATCGCTCCTTCCTAATCCTTGTCACTCGCACTGGGTTGCGTTCAAAACCTACGCTCTAGGTGCAACAAATATCTAAGTTGACATTAGCTTCATACATTTTATGTCAAAATTTAAACGTCAGGGTAAAAGTTGCACTCAGAGCGTAGGCATTGAACGCAGCCCAGGGTTGCGTTCAGAACTTACGCTCCAGGTGCTATTCGTGCACACAAACGTAATGTCGAGCTTCTGTACGCCTCATTGTCATATTTGTACTCGTCACTTCAAATGTATTGCCGAGCTTCAGTACGCCTCGCCACATTTGAAGTGGGACATTGTACTGGCTCAGTACAAAAAAGAGGCTACTCTTACAAACTCTTTTTCAAGTCGTGTCCTACCCAACACTAGGAACAACGGAACCAAAGCGCGATTCAGGAGACTACAGCGCCATCTCTTTACCATTGGTGTAGTAGAACCAAAAACCACATCTTTATTTTTTGTAAGAAAGTAACAGTTATAGGTATTCATATTTATAATATTTATAAAATTTATCCACGTTTCTAGTTTGTATATTCGGAATACGTGTTTGAGTTTCATACAAGTGCAAATCACATATGTTCTAATAAATTATATTCAGTAGCGATTTTAATTGAATATTTTGATTATTTATTTATTTTTTCAAATTAAAACTGAACTTTATTGACTGTGTCCTTTTCCAGACTTTTTATTAATTTATTGTAATTAATTATTTGCATGCAATTAAAAACTAATTTTAAACGATGCCAAAGAAGGATAACTTCTCACGCGCCTACATAAGTACACGCACCCATTTTTTTGTGTGTATTTGGTAGGTCTGAGAAAAGGTCGAAAGCTTTTCTCTAATATACACAAAAAAAGGTGTTGTCTTCTAAAAGCTTTTATTTAACTTGCGATGTATGTATGTAATGTAAGGTACCTGATACAAATAAGGCCTATAGTACAGAAAGGTTTATTATAATATATTTACATCAAAAATACTTCACACACGGTTAGACCACAGTTCTGCAACTCGGCAAAATATGCACGAGAGGACCGCTCGTAATTAATTTAATTAAATTTATTATTGTACTTAAATAAAGCTTACTTTTAATAGGCCTTATTTTTAACCCTAGGCCTTAATAGGAATTCTGTTGAATTTGATCTAGACGCATTTGTATGTCCTGATTGTCACTAAAACTGATTTATAGAGTCGCCTCTACTATATAGGTATAGTACTTATTATCAGTGAGACTGATTAATGTTTCTAAGCAAATTATGCTACTTATTACGTTCTAATGCCTTTTTTAATTACCTTGTTTAATTAAGGCCTATCAAAATATTTCCAATATTTAACAATATTTTTGAGATGTGTTAATTTGCAATTTTTTATTGTATGAAATATGAGTCTTGTAGATACCGCAGTGTTCTTAAAAATCACACTATATTTTAGGCTGCAATGAGGCCCACATATTGATAGATTGTCGCAGAGACTTAGTTCTATATCATATACTGTAATGAAAATACTTCAGTTAACGGATATAGAAACTGCCAGATTAGTCTACTTTAGGTATTTTCAAAGTATAATGTATTTCGGTATTTTACTGTGGGGAATGGAGAATGGGCAAATCCGTCTAGATTGCGCTTGACGCATTTATGTATCAAAAATCTTCTTTTGAATTATCATTTCATATGTGTGTTTATTATGTAAATATTATGCGGATATTTAAAATAATAAATAAATGGCTATTAAACTGAGTAAATAACCAATAACCATAGAAAAAAGTTGTATCACCTGGTCGATACTATCGTAGGAAAAAATATCGATTATATTTCTTTATTTAAATATTCTTAACATAAAAAAACGAGTGTGCTTATGACCACACGACTGAAGTGAAACTTCTTTCATTTACTAGCTGTAAGAGAAAAACAGAAAGAAAATGCGTGCGCGCGCTCTTGCTCCTACACTGTGATACAGAAAATAGGCTTGCACTGTGCTTAGATATACGGAACGTATTTGGCTATGAGAGGAAGAGAGAAAGAAGATGTGCACGCGCACTGTTTTCTCATGCTTACATCCCCCACTCAACTCCCGTTCGCCTCGCCCGATCACACTTTTTTTAACGCTTACGTTCGCTAGCTTACTCCCCAAGTCAAGAGTGCGTAAAGAAGTTTCACTTCAAAAAGTTTTATAAATGTGTTAGGAATATTGTGTAATAAAGATAATTTCAATAATAACAATATTTTTTTTCTATTTCTTCTAAGCAAATCGAGTGTCTTTAATTAGCTGGCCAGCTTATAGCTTATATACGTTAAAAAAGTTTGTGTTACGTTCCCATAGTGAGCATTGCCAAAATACTACCGAACACAACTATTTTTTGTCCCACATTGTAAGAATACAACGTCGTGTATGGATTTGCTATTGCTGACTATCTCCTCAATTGACGTTGGAAATAATGGAACAAAATTAGCTTAAGACATGTTATATGAGATCAAGTAGGAACAAATCTAAAATCATAAAACAACACCCTTCAGGACGTATTTACATCGGTCCCATAAACACACTTAATTGGCACTAGGAATAAAGATGTTACTTTTGAAATCGATTGTCTATAAGGTAGGGTCGCTTTTATGAGTACCAGAGGGTAGTTACAAGGCTGATTAAGATTCTAACAGTTTTTGAGTTATTATGTCTTCATTGTTGACAGTGCTTTTGGATCCCGTGGATAATGAAAAAGTGCTAAAGACATGCATGGAGAAAGACGACCTGCACAGATTCCTGAGAAACATCATTGGCAACGGTGGCATATTCGCTCCCGGTAAGTTGTTTTGGCTATTTAATTGTGCTGAACAGTGAGTATTAAGATTCTCAAGAGGTCATACAAGTACGTACACTGCACAGAAAAACAGCAATGCATTTCATTTGATACAATAGTTTCTGTTACGTAGCAGTATGGTACGCGCTCGCACCAAACGCCAATCATGGAACTCCACACATGTCCACAATAGTCTTCGGAATTCCACTTCATCAATATATTCCAGTGGATTTGTGGCATCCCGTAAATACCGATTTATAGGACGATATTGGTGCAAGTCTTCATAAAATTAGTCAATAAAATCAGGGAAATTGTTCATTATGCAAATAAAATTTGAATTAACTTCAGAAATAACGTGGAAAGCGCTTTTAAACAAGCTTTGAGGAAACCTCAAATCAAATCGCAACTTACCTTGAGTTTGACAGTTTATTACTCGACTCGACTGAGAAATTTGCTCAAGTCCAGAATAGTTATGTTACTCTTATGTTTTTTCAGTTTTGCATATCAAATTTATGCTTGAGGTTTAATCGAGTCACAGAGGAAGTCTCGAGGAACCGACTATGCATATGGGTGTTAGTTCTATGTGGTTAAACCACAATAAAATTGTAATCAGAAAATAAATACTAATCATCCATACCTACTCTGCTCATTTATGGCCTGCGTAGACTCAAAGACAAGCCATCCTCCTCCTCTGACAAAAGTCCCTGAATCATGGAAAAATGTAAGCGGAGGACATGTCACGGAATTAACGCACACGTTGTGCGAGCATTTGTTGCCCGGATATTTAGAGAAGCGCACGCTATCGACGCAAATATTCTGACATGACGTTGTGTTTCAATAAAATTAAGTTAAAAGAAAAAATAAGTCATTTTAAAAGAGAAAAGGGTTCATGCCTTTATATTGGATCGAACGCGCAAGGCAGACTTAAGTTCCCTGTGTGCGTTGCTGCGCCTACTCATGGTCATATGAGTTCTATTTTGTCGGGGACACGCGCGTACTGTTGTCTAGTCCGATGTCTCGGTTGTTCGGGGGACTTTTTGAACGCGATACATTTAATACGTAGTATGTTACTAAATACAGTTGTCAGTTATCTATTTTTGCGGACGAAAATTCGTGGGCAAAAAAAAATACCTCGTCCGTGCTGGCCATTAACATAAAACATTTCACGCCGACTATTGGCGTTAACCTTCTGAAATGCATTAAATTGTTAAGTTATTGTTCATTAACATGGAATCAGATCTGTATTGATGTCGTGGCCATATCGTAGAATTGCCCACTTTATGAAATGCTCGAGAATTTCATGAAGTGGGCGCATTTCATGATGTGGGCAACTTAATTTGACCAGATCATTAAATCGTCAACGTTTAACGATTTTGTCAACCACGTTTGGCCAGATCGTATAATTACGGTAGCCATAAAATATTTAATATAAATCCAGACTATGTTAAGAACTTGTTTATTGTCATTTAAGTCCGAATAACACAAACAAAGGACATTGGGCATAAATGTATGGAAGCTGCACCCACGTCCGCCACGGCTTAAACTACATTTGTTTGAAAGGTATTATAGTCAAGATCATCTGTGCCAAAGCGCATCAAATTCCATCCCGGGGGTCTTTATTTATTTTAAGTTAAATGTGTACAAGTACTATAACAAACGAACATTAATGAAACAAGAGAATTAATTTAGTTAGTTAGTTCGACTCTACATAGGGTGCTCAGGAATTATGGGAGTACTTCACAAGGTGCCAGGGTGCGCCCCCTTATGTTACTCTGCCACGCTAGAGTAAATCCAAACATCCCTGCATGGGCTGAGTTTTTTTTAAACATTCTGTTCGTTATAGTAAATTGTCTTCTATGTAAAACGGAGCGACCACAGATTACACAAACTTGTCCACGCTTCGGAGAACACATGATTCCAGTTCATCCATACTAATTGACAAAACCGATAATCGTGTTCCAATATCCAAAGCGTGTTAGATAAAAATCAATCAAGTAGCAGGGAGCGCACAATCACAACGAAGTAAGACGAGTCGACTATTTGCAACTGCAAGTCCTTCCTTCATCATCCGTAAACCGTTTTGAAATGTCTCAGTAAGAGCAAGTGCAGGATGGTCGGCAGGCTTTGTCGTATATCTGGTTGTATAGTACGATATAGTATATTATTATGATTACTTATAATATAAAATGAAGGTATTATAAAATGAATTTATTCAGCTACTTAAATATGCCTACGTGTCATATCTATTGAGTACCAGGATATTTTTACAGTGTCATATCTTTTGACTCCCAGGATATTTATTTTCGGTGTCATAATAAAAAAGGCTAGTTTTTCATAGAGCTATCGATTCATACTAATTACATTGTTGGCGGAGCTGGGTGCGTTTTGCCCATTGTCCTTTAATTAAACTTTTGTATCAAAATAAACAAATTAAAGATTTTTTTTCTAAATTATACATCAAACATGTCAAGAAGTACACATTATATTTAGAAAATTAACAAATATTTAGAAATAAGAAGGTACTTTGGTAACATATTACAATAGTGGCTAAATTGCACTTCCAGGGCCCAAGCAGTAATACTTCACACTAAGTTAGGTTAGGTTAGTGTTATGACCGTAATGTTCGAGCCGAGCGAGCAAAGCGAGCGTGCCACGGTAGCGCCAGAAAAAAAAATAAAGAGAACTTTTCTACAAATAACAAATTAAGTATCACCTCTTGGGCCCTGGAAGTACAGTTTTACCCAGTCATTTGTTGGCGCATGATTAACTTTGGTGACACTTTGAAGTACAAAGTGTTTTATTCTTAAAACATGAGTAAGTATCTATTTGTACGGCATTGATACTCATCCGCAGTTTCCAAAATGTCATATTTTGATAGCCAGTAATACTCCATGGATTTATTTTACGTAGTCACCCTACTCTCCTTAATTTGTTTCATAACCTAAAAAAGAAAAAAAACATTACCATTATTATGTCATAATTCACAAACGTAGAATAAATAATATTAATTAAATAGAAACACAATACGTTAGCTGGCATAAAGTATTTTAATAAAATAAGTGAATAATGATGTAATTAATAGATAGATAGCCAATAGATAGTGAAACATTTCATGAAATGGTCGCATTTCATGAAGTGAGCAAATCTACGATATGGCCACGATATTGACACTGAGTACACACATAATATTTCTTTTTAATATTATCTGGTTGAATTCATCAAGATAATAATATAAAGGGCGTAAACAACCAAGGTCAAAAATACAGTAGAGTCAAAAAGCAGACACGACAGAATAATTACATCAAAAACATTGTAAAAAAAATATTTCCTTGGATCCACTGTAAAATAAACCTTTGGCGTTTACGTCATTTGAGTGAGTCGAAAGGTATCGATATGTTGCACGACTATGGCTGTAAAATAAAATAATAAAAGAGGTAATTCAATAAACTTTATTTTCACAGTGAAAATTTGGAGAAAACGCAGGAAAATCATGGTGCCAGCGTTCACTCCGAAAATTGTTGAAACCTTCGAGAAAATATTTACTGAGCAGAGTGAGACACTTGTGAAAAAACTTAGTAACCAAGCTGACAAGGGGAAATTCAGCGTATGGCCTTTTTTGAGCACTTACACATTAGACTCTGTTTCTCGTGAGTATTTTTACTATTTTTTGGACGATTTCTTTAACAGAACTTAACTAAAAAGAACTTATAAGACTGCTCTCGAAGAACACATTGACCTGTTATAAAAAAAGAAAGATCAATTCACTGTAGGAGAAGCTCGATGGCGCAGGTGCTTAACGCGTTCGTTGGTCCCGGCATCTGCATCCGTTAGCACCCACCAATCTACACTGGGCCCGTGTGGTGGGTCCTGCATAGACCAATCACCTCAACTCCATCCATAGGGAAGACCTTTGCTCCAACACAATAAAAGGCTGATGATGATGATGAAACTTCTGCAAAAATGTTGCATATTGATTTCGCCTCAAGATGATAATACGAGTCACGAGCATTAACTAATCAGTAATTTAATTCCAAATATTTTTTAAATGCACCTTATTCATTAAAAGACTACTTTCACATACAGAAACGGCGATGGGTGTAAAAATAAACGCGCAGAATAATACCCACAGTCCATTCCTTTTGTCGATTAACCGATTCCTGAATTTGGCGTGCGAAAGAATATTCCACCTGTGGCTTCAGCCAGATTGGATGTATATGTTTTTCCCACAATATAAGGAGCACCAGGCTTGTTTAAAGCAATTGCATGACTTCACTGATGAGGTATATTTAAATATTACATACAAAATAATGAATAAAGGCTAATATTAAATAAAAAATAAAAATACAACACCCAATTTAAAAAAGCTTTGCCTTACAATTTAAAATTTGTATTCATATTGATCAGATCATAATATTGTTTTAAAATTTTAGAACATAACAGTGGTTTTCATTTTAGGTTATAATAAAAAAACGCGAAGAAATACAGGAAGATTTGAAGGACAAAGCTGAAATAGACACTGAATATGGTAAGCATTTTTTTTTTATTTTTCTGTAAATACCTAACAACAATTAGATCTGATAAAATTATAATCTTAGTTTAAACAACAGTTATGTATGGATTGATATGACCGCGTTGTTGTTAAAATAATAAAATTTGACTACATATTAGTAAATTTTACGTCAAATACATAGTAAATACGCGGCTTGACGGCCAAAGAAATGCCGGAGTGATCAGCATTCTCCAAGGAATTCATAATTAAGTCACGGTAACACGAATGATCACTGTTCAAAAATTTGGTCCAAAGAAGACTAAATATTTGGTCGAAATTCTCTTTCTAATGACATTCTGTCACTGCCACTCACGCTTGTGACAATATTTGTTGCAATAGGGAGCTCCCCAAAATACTACTAAAGCATGGACCAATAATAGGGTTATGACTGTAGCAATATCAACGGCAGTGGACCTGTTTACATACTGGCAGAACCCAGTTACAGAAATTATCACTGTTTAAAACCCGTGTAACAAAAGAGACTGAATATCTGGGAGATATGACTTTCTATAATAGTGTTACCATGATTTCTGAACAAATCAGAATTAAGCATTAACTTAATACCGTAAATATGCAATTTATAAAATGAATAAATCAAATCTCATAGTAGATATTTTGTGATAAATTTATGCAATGCTTTAAAACTGGCCAAGTACGTGTCGCAAAGTAGGATTCCGTAGTTGTCTACAACAAAGTGTAAGAAGCAAACTCAAACGTAACATTTGATGTAAACAATCACCTACATTTCACAGAGAAATTCTAGACAGTTGGTTTTATTTTGCGTCCTACTAAAGGCTTCAAGAATCCTGAAAGTCTAATTTATTTATGTAAAACTCTTGTAAGAAGTGTTCTCGAATTTAATACACCATTTGCAGTCCGATTTGGAAAGGTTGGAGTCTTATTGTCAGTTAAATGATTTGAATCTCAACCCCTCTAAATGTTGCATGGTAACTTTTAATACACCATTTGCAGTCCGATTTGGAAAGGTTGGAGTCTTATTGTCAGTTAAATGATTTGAATCTCAACCCCTCTAAATGTTGCAGTCGCAAACGCAATTTAGTGTCTTACAAATACACCCATAAAGATGTCACTCGTCAAACTCAATCTTTTATGCGGGACCTGGGAATAATTCATGACTCTAAATTAATCTTTAATTTACATGACGACAACATAAAACTTTGTAATGCGATGATAAAACGAAAAAAAGTATTAAACTTAAGGCACTGTTCGGTCTATAAATATCAACTAATTAATATATATGAGGAACTCGATGGCGCAAGTGGTTAGCGCGTTCGGCTGCGATCGTTGTACTTAAGCAATTTTCGCAGTGGTCGGTCATTGGATGGGTGACCAAAAATTACTATCCCGAGCTCCTCCGTACTTCGGAAGGCACGTTAAGCCGTTGGTCCCGGCTGCATCTGCAGTCGTTAGCACCCACCAATCCGCACTGGGCCCGCGTGGTAAGTCATGGCCCAATCTCCCTATTCCATCCATAGGGAAGGCCTGTGCCCCAGCAGTGTGGACAATAATAGGCTGATGATGATGATGAATTAATATTCATGTAACTCAATATTTTGTAAATGACTGTTTGTTGCAAAAAAAACGTAAACTTAAGTAGTTTCCTATACAACTATTATTTTTACAATATAATTTAGTTATGACGGTCACGATATACTTTGATATTATACTACATCGATTGTAGTTTTGTATTGGCAACTGCACGACAGACACTGCCATCCAAAAACTTATTCTCTTTCGAGACCGTCTTTCCTTTCTTCTAAATCTAACAGAAAGTAGACCTTAAGTAATTTTGTTAAGGTTTACACTATTTCTTTACATATTGCAAGTGAGAATTTTTGTTACCGTTAGGTACCTTATATTATATTTAACTTCTTTGGCATTCTCTTTGAGCTTAACGTTTGATATATTTACTCATTTGTTTGTTAATAAATATTCCAATGACAAGAAAATACCTTACAATTTATAGTTTGTGTAAGTACACAATGATAGCAAACTCCGTTTATTTCAGATCTAGATAGTTACAAAACCAAGAGTTTCCTTGATCATCTGATTCATCTGTCAGGCAAAGACGGTGGTTACACCAATCTAGAATTGAGAGAGGAAGTGCTTACACTGACTATCGCTGGAACGGATACCTCTGCGGTTGCAATAGGTTACACCTTGAAGATGCTGGCGACATATCCAGAAGCCCAAACGAGGGTTTATGAAGAGTAAGTATTATGAACCTATAATTACCTATTTTTTTACTCTACCGTTTCTCTTCACATCCAAGTCCACGCACCCCCTACGGCGACAGCACGAGGACACTTCGGGGATGCATGAGTTGCATACTCAATTAAAAATCAAATACAGATACAATACAAGCAAGTTACATATTATTAATTTATATATTTATGTGTATGTAATATAACATATGTAAATAATATAACTACTTCGATATTAAGATGATGATCTTCTATTACCTCACTTTTACAATAGCCGAAAAATCATCTTAATATCGAAGTAGTTATATTATTTTCATCATAATATTATACAAATAATATTATACACTTCTGGACACATCTATTGGCCCACCTTGTATTTTCAGACCAGCTTGAGAAATCGTCACCTTACGTCCATTGAGATACAGAAACAAATTCGCCACTTCCACGGAGTATCTGTGAGCGCTCGAACTGTTCGGAGAAGGTTAAAAGAACGCGATATGGTACCACACAAGCCAGCTAATGGGCCCAACCTAACGCGAGCCCACCGAACAGCGCGCCTTCATTTCGCACGCAGTCATTTAAATTGGATACAGCAATATTGGAGCCGTGTACTCTTTTCTGATGAGTCTAAAATTGTGTTACATGGCAATGATGGAAGGAAGAAGGTCTACCGACGTAAGGGAGAGCGTTTCGCACAATGCTGCTTTGAAGAGAGGGTTGCTTATGGCGGTGGCTCATGGACTGTCTGGGGCGGTATATCCACGAGCGGCAAAACTCAACTTGAGGTTGTTACAGGACCACGGCTGCCAACATTAAATGCTGAAAGGTACATTCGTGAGTGCTTAGAACCTCACGTGATACCATACGCAGACTATGTGGGCCCAAATTTCCTTTTTATGCATGATAATGCAAGAGCCCATGCGGCCGGCATCGTCAGGGAATATCTTCGGGATGTGAACATCACAGTTATGGACTGGCCAGCCAGAAGCCCAGACATGAACCCCATTGAGCACATGTGGGACGAGCTAAAAAGACGTGTTAGGGCTCGTCAGCCAGTTGTCCAGACGATGCAGGAGTTGAAAACTGCCATAGAAGAGGAATGGGAGATGATCCCTCAAAAGTTCATAGAGCGGTTGATAAACTCTATGCCTAATCGTATGAGAGCTGTGGTAGTTATTAAGTTAAACCTTTATTTGATAAAACATGTTTTTTATTCAAAAATCAATTGCCTTTAACAAGGCGCATATCCGACTTATTAGGCGTAGCTCCATGTCGTATGGTATTCTGAATTCAAATTTAAAACAATACGATCGAAAAAGATGGTAAAATGTATCAGGTTTAAAACTGCATCAACAGTTTTTGTTCAATCTAGCAATCATATTTCGGTAGGGGCCATCGAAACCTAAACTCTAAGGTGGGCCAATAGATGTGTCCAGAAGTGTATTTACATCAAGGAATCGATGAGTTGAAACAAAGCGTTAGCGAATATTCTCGTTCTATAGATAAGTCGATTCCTTCAAAAATCCGACAAATTTTCATATAATAAAATAAACATATGAAGAGTAATAACCTAGAAAAAAGAATTGCATGAATATTTAAAAACTCTATTAGCAGTTAAACTTAACGTCAACTTTAAATGTAGGGCCATGTGTATAAAAATTTAAGCAAACCTGACTGTGACGATTTACCATCGTATTTAATATTCTGCCATGGGGAAAGGCGAAATCGAAGTTTTTTTGATATCTATCGAATAGGAGCCATAATAAAAGAAAGTACTTCGTTGTCGCTAATGCTGCTTGCAGCTGTCAACCAATCGATGCTGCTGCAGCACTGGAGGCTGAAGCTCTATAATATAATTAAAGTAATAGTTGTATCGCAGAGCTTCCACATCGTCGGAATTGGTTTTCGAGAATAGTACAGCTAGTAAAGAACACCTAAACACAGATTGTGTGGTCTCTGAAACTTTAAATTTAAGTCGAATACGAAGGAGTTCCTTAGCATAAAACGGTGAACCTGATTTTATGCAGTGTCTGTTTATAGGTAAACTATTATTATAGTCATCAATCAATAATACTAAAACTTCCACATTTTCAGAATTTATGACATATTCGGAGATTCGGATCGTCAATTAGTGAAGAATGATTTACTTCAACTAAAGTACCTGGAGAGGGTCGTGAAGGAGACACTGAGGCTCTTCCCGCCCGTGCCCTTCATCATCAGAAGGGTGGACGAGAATGTGACATTACGTGAGTTCTAGCTGTTATTTTAATTACGCTATGTACACTACTACTAATATTAAACTACTACACTTTAACCAGTTACATTGAACTAGGTACAGTTAACAATATTACCCCACTTACCCGGTTTTTCACGTTACAATATATTGCAGCAAAAACGTACAAAAATAGCTTTGCGTTGCATTTCCTTTAGGTCACCTTAGTATTCTATATCACAAGCATTACATCCCTCACTTTGGAGCTAAACTTAGTTATTTATATTATCCTTTTCTAGCGTCTGGACGGGTGTTACCCGCGGGATCTGGTGTCGTGGTGAGCATTTGGGGAGCACACCGAGACCCTAAGTACTGGGGGCCGGACGCAGAGAAGTTCGACCCCGACCGCTTCCTACCAGAGAGGTTCCTGCCGAAACATGTGTGCAGCTATATGCCGTTCAGCCAGGGACCCAGAAACTGTCTAGGCAAGTTGAATATTTCGTACCTCAACATCGTCAGCCTATTAATGTCCACACTGCTGGGGCACAGGCACAGGTCTTTTCTACTGAAATAGATTGGGTCAAGATCCACCATACGGGCTAAGTGAAGATTAGCGGGTGCTTACTTCTGCAGCTGCAGCCGGAACCATTTTGTATCTAGCTAGCCTTTTATATGTTCAATTTACAAGAAAACAACAACTTTGATTATATCGTTTGAGAAAGCCACGATTCCATATGGCTTTTGCCCAGTTTAACAGATCTTGGCCCAAATTTGAGTAATTTCACTATTGCGGCAAGTAGAATAATATCGACATCGAATTAGACTTTTAAAACAATTTGTTGAACGTACTGGTCCTTGGTCCGAAATCACCGCAAGAGTTCACTATGTTATAGTTGGTAATGAAATTTGACTTTTTCGATAAATGTTTATGAACATGTCTTTGTTTTATGAGATATACGACATGCCTTATACGATTAAATATTCATAGTTCTCTTAGCAGGTTATCAATATGCCTTGATGTCCATCAAGATAGCTGTGGCGGCAATAGTGAGGAATTTCAAAGTAGTGCCAGACCTTCAGAATAGTGATACGCCGTACATCAGGGTCAAGTTAGATATAATGATGAAAGACGTGGATGGTTACCAAATAGCTTTAGAGAAGAGGAAGCCGGACGAATAACAATATCAGGACATCGTCGTAGTGAATAAGGTTATTTATGTTTTTTCTATAGGAGTCTACATATATGTAGGAATCTAATAAATCGCACTTTTGACTTACTAAACTCTTTAATTTTAATATAATACACATGTTTCTGTCGTTCTTCAATCCTAGTCCCGCGCCATCTTCCTAAGCTATCCTCCCATCCTTTACCTCACCTTCTCGCTCACACTCGCTCTCTCTACGCAGCTGATGTTGCCATTCTCCATTCGGTCATCCTGATGATAAGGTCTGCCCCAGAGGCGGATTAAAGGTCATAACGCACTAGACCAATAGGTGTGTTACTGATACCACTTCACCTATAGACTAGTCAATAAGTGAAGCGGTATCAGTATCAGGTAATCGGTCCAGGGTCCAAAATAAAACTTCGGCACAAAACAAACGTAACAACTCTGAATCCACGCTCAGAACGGAATAAACAGAAATTCTATTCTACTTTTGTATAGTCAAGGTTGAAAACTACAAGTGATCAGTTTTTAAAGTTTCGCGTATCTTCTTTGATTGGCTGGTTAAGTGACCTAAAAGGGTTAAATAAAATAAGGTTATAGACGGCATAATGACAAACACAATGATTTTAGTTATATATTTTTTATATTTTTAAGCTAGTCACTGCTAGATGTTTATATCTAATGTATTTTTTGACAATGGTTACTTTAGTATAAGTAAGCGATGGTAATAGTTTGATTTTGAACATACTTATATAAATAATTAGCCGGGACCTTTCTTTGTCTGTTGCTTTCTCCGTTTTACACAGGAATTTTGCCAAACTTTAGATAAATAGAAAAAAAACTCAAAGAATAACTGTCAAGTTTGTTTGTAACTCAATCACGCAAAAACTACTAATCAGACTTGGATAAAATTTGGTATGCATAGCAGGTACAGTTTATGACCATCATTGAATTTGAGACATAGTCTACTTGTGATATTTTATTTTTTTAAACATTTAACTGCTACATATTTAAATCTTTTTTAGCCTTGCAGCCTAAAACATACTAAAGAGAAATTGAATCGGCCAGTAGGGCCGCGGTAGCATAATGGTCAGTGCATCGGCCCGGATAGCGGAGCGTGCTGGTTAAAGACCCGTCTGCTGCATGGACCGCGTGAAATGTTTCCTAGTAAAATTGTCTTTCGATTTGAACATACGATGCTTTATATCTCGGAAATATGTTCGATTTCTGTGCGGTTCCCGAAAAAAATTCGCGGGCGAAGTCACGGGTGGCCGTTAGCATCATAATATAATAACTTGATTTGTATCGAGGTAAAGGAGAAAAGAAAATTATTTTCCATTATAACATTATGTTTATCTATTAATCAGTTTTCTGTTATGTACTTTAACAGTTATTGGAACGAAGTTCCTTACGGCAGGCTTGGAGGGGATAGGGATTTTGCTGCGCGACCGAACTGAAAAAAATGTGATAGTAAAACCGTAAGAAAAAATCCGTGGAAAAAGTGCTTGGAATAAAACCGTTAAATGAGACGTGCGCAGGCGTGACGAAGTTCCTTACGGCAGGAGAGAGAGCGATGAGGGTGCATCACTGAAATATTGTGATACTACACCAACACTGAATATGTGTGAAGTTATAGGGGGTGGTAGAGCGACGAGGGTGCATCACTGAAATATTGTGATTTTACACCAACACTGGATATTTGTGAACTTATATCAAGCTGTGGACCAGTAACGCCTGTAAGACATGATTATGATTACAAGGTGAGTACTTATCAGGAGGTGGCAGAGCGACGGGGGTGCATCACTGGATTATTGTGACATTGTAGTTTATTCTAAACTGTGGGCCAGTCCTGCCTAGCATCCTTTACGAACGCTAGAGGGTCATGATAATAAGGTGCGTATGTAGGGGGTGGTACAGCTACGTGGGTGCAGCACTGGAATATTGTGACATTACACGAAATCTGGATATTTGTGACGTTATACCGAGCTATGGACCAGGAACACTGTCATCTGCTGTAAACTTAAGCTAGACATGATAACAAGGCCAGTACTTAACAGGGGGTGACAGAGCGACAGGGGTGCAACCCCAAATTATTGTGGCATTATTCCAACACTGGATTATTGTCGTATATTATACTAAACTGTGGTTAAGTCCAAGGGGGTGGCAGAGCGACGGGGCTGCATTACTGGATTATTGTGACATTTTAGTTTATTATAAACTGTGGGCCAGTCCTGCCTAGCAATCTTTACGAACACTAGCTGACCGAACTGAAAAAAATGTGACAGTAAAACCGTAAGAAAAAATCCGTGGAAAAAAGTGCGTGGAATAAAACCGTTAACTGAGACGTGCGCAGGCGCGACAGTCGCATACACAAGCGAGTTTGCAATTTGTGTCGATTCTACATTAGCCGAAGGAACTTCGTTCCTACCTGGTGTCCCACGACACCACATCATTTTTTTATGTTATTAGTGCGGTAAGTTGGTTATGACAAAAGAACAGAGTAATGTAGGTAAGCCCAAGATGAAGTCGAGGGTTTACCATAGTCACGAGTTTGTAAACACCAATTCCGCAGGAATATCATACATATTTTCAACACATTTGCGAGAAAACAGTATAATTTCTAAGTGATGAAGCAAACTTTTTCTAAGAAGAAAATGGCACGCATTTCCACGTGGCGCCACGTGCTAGCGGTGAAAATTAGAACAATATATTTCGGCTTTTTTTCTTTTTTTGTATTGAAGTGAGACGAACGTATAAATCAAAATTGTTTCCAAGAAGGTTCGAACGAAATTAAAAAAACCGTAAAAGATACACACAGTGCCATATACTGCACGCTCTGTTGTATGGTGCGTAATTTTGAACTTTCAAGCGCAAGCAACAACACAACATGTTGAAAATGTCTTTGATTTATACCTAGTTACAATAAACAATTTGAAGTTTTGTTTTCATCTATTGTCATTCTTTTATGTAAATTAATAAGACGGTTACCAAATAGCGTCATCGTTTAATGAGTACTTCGGTGTGTACAAAACAACATTGTTTTTAAATAATTTCATAAGTTATTCTTTTTATGAGTCGGATCGAACGTTAATTTTTATGGTTCCGTACCCGAAGGGTTCAAACGATGCCCTATTATCACTCACGTGTCCAATTGTCCATCTGTTCGTCTTCAACCGCAAAGTCTAACAAGACTTTATAACGTTATAAATAACTCCCAAATACAAGGAATATAACTAAATTCTCACATTTTTAATTTGGTGACACCGACCGTTCTAAAACGTGTATAATTTCAGAGAGCGAGTTCTCATGCTGTACCCTAAAAAAAATAACATTTAATTTTAATATTTTGACAGCAACTTAAAAAAACCCTTCAAAGGCAAAATCCTTGAAGTCTATCAGTGTATAGATAAACGTAGTGTATTTTAGTCAATAAGCAGCTTGCTGACAAATAATAAGTCAAAATGATATTTTTACTGCTGCTAGTGATAGTCATGTCAACATCATTTGTAGTATACCGAATAAAAAACAAGCGATTGTATGAGTTGGCTGAGAAGACGCCTTCAGTAAAAGATTCATTGCCACTGATCGGTGTGGGACATAAGTTTTTAGGAGCCACTCGCGAAGGTAAGTTTACCCGTGGTTTACTATCGTTCGCCTAATTTCACGGCAAAAACGGACAATTAATAGACATTTATCCTGTTAATTCCCATACAACTTCCTTAATTGGAACTTTATATAAAGAAATGTAAATATTGCATACAATAAATGAGACGCAATAATTGACTTTCAAGAATTGTAAGCACCTGTTTACACGCGGTCATATTAAAAAGCTTGCATGCAATTATTGAATGCCAGTTTTGACAAAAAATAATTGCAAATGTCTTTCGTTTACACCAATGCAATTATTGCAAGGAGATTATTGCTTTCAAGTATTGACATGTCTAAACACAGACTTGTGCGTAGGGGAGAGTGGGGGAATTGCGGACGCGGGGTAAATACGGACTAGCAAGTATCTACTCATTCCCTCCACCCGCGGCAGCCCGGTGCTGTCGTCTTTTTCTTTCCGCTATTTTAATGCTACGCAAAAACTTACGACAGCCGGCTGCGCACAGTTTGAAAGATAGGTAAAATTAAAAAAAAAAGTGTATATTGATCTAATTTTAAGTGTTTTTTAATTCGAGGGACAGGTCTGTATACTAAGTGATGGTAAAAAGTGATATTTTCTATGGATAGATTTGTCAATGGAGTTTGAATCGCCAATGTTTGTTTTTATGGAACGTTTTCATAACCTACAAATTTCTCTCTTTGATTTAAAAATACCCAGTTGGGTTAATTGCGGACACGGCTTGCGGGGTATATACGGACGTCCGAAAACCAAAGTACGACAAGTCAAACGAGTCAATCTTCATCAGTACCGCTTAGTGATTTAATAAAGTAAACAAAAAGCATTCCATCATTTTTACCAGCACCCCGGAAAAAAAGAATCTAGAAGAAAAGGAAAAAAAAATTAGACAAGAAAAGAAAAGCTCAAGAAATAGAAAATAAAACTACATCTAATAAGCTGAAAAAGTCAGAACTTTCTACAGGAAAAGGGTCAAAGAGTTTAAAAAATCTGAATAATTTTGAAAATGAAGGAAATGTTGATTACTTTTGCATTTATTATCAGGAAAAGTACAGTGATCCACTCGCCGAAGACTGGATTATGTGTTTAAAGTGTAACAAGAGGGCTCATGAGAACTGCACTGCAGGAAGTTATTCTAAAGGCTTTACTTGTGATTTTTGTCAATGATGTGGACCTAGTCCGTAAATACCCCATGCTGTCCGTAATTAACCCTGGGTCAGTCCGAATTTACCCCGAACGCTACGGGTAATTACGGACAGACAAGGTTTTGTTTTTGCTAAAAAAAATCTATTTGTTGATTGATCTCGTTTAATAAGTATAATTGTTTTTGTAGATGGATAACTAAAGATTAATAATTAATAAAGACAGACTAATTATTACTAATAGTACGAATGTTGTGCGTTATTTCCCTTCAGCGTCCGCAATTCCCCCATCCTCCCCGGAGAGTGGGGGAATTGCGGACGCGGGGTAAATACGGACTAGCAAGTATCTACTCATTCCCTCCACCCGCGGCAGCCCGGGGCTGTCGTCTGTTTCTTTCCCCTATTTTAATGCCACGCAAAAACTTACGACAGCCGGCTGCACACAGTTTGAAAGGTAGGTAAAATTAAAAAAAAAGTGTATATTGATCTAATTTTTAGTGTTTTTTAATTCGAGGGAAAAGTCTGTATACTAAGTGATGGTAAAAAGTGATATTTTCTATGGATAGCTTTGTCAATGGAGTTTGAATCACCAATGTTTGTTTTTATGGAACGTTTTCATAATCTACAAATTTCTCTCTTTGATTTAAAAATACCCAGTTGGGTTAATTGCGGACACGGCTTGCGGGGTATATACGGACGTCCGAAAACCAAAGTACGACAAGTCAAACAAGTCAATCTTCATCAGTACCGCTTAGTGATTTAATAAAGGTCCCAACTCTACAAATTCATCGTAACGGTCAGTAAACAAAAAGCATTCTATCATTTTTACCAGCACCCCGGAAAAAGAATCTAGAAGAAAGGAACAAAAGAAATTAGACAAGAAAAGAAAAGCTCAAGAAATAGAAAATAAAACTACATCTAATAAGCTGAAAAAGTCAGAACTTTCTACAGGAAAAGGATCAAAAGGTTTAAAAAATCTGAATAATTTTGAAAATGAAGGAAATGTTGATTACTTTTTCATTTATTATCAGGAAAAGTACAGTGATCCACTCGCCGAAGACTGGATTATGTGTTTAAAGTGTAACAAGAGGGCTCATGAGAACTGCACTGCAGGAAGTTATTCTAAAGGCTTTACTTGTGATTTTTGTCAATGATGTGGACCTAGTCCGTAAATACCCCATGCTGTCCGTAATTAACCCAGGGTCAGTCCGAATTTACCCCGAACGCTACGGATAATTACGGACAGACAAGGTTTTGTTTTTGCTAAAAAATCTATTTGTTGATAGATCTCGTTTAATAAGTATAATTGTTTTTGTAGATGGATAACTTAAGATTAATAATTAATAAAGACAGACTAATTATTACTAATAGTACGAATGTTGTGCGTTATTTCCCTTCAGCGTCCGTAATTCCCCCATCCTCCCCTAAATTGGTTTTCTTAACTAAATTAATGCCGGATTTGTGAAAGCAGAAACGACAAAACTCTTTGACTAAGCAGGTACATTCATAACCTTAAAAATTGAAACCACAACATTTCTGGAGTTTTTAACGATGTGTTTCTTTATTCTCGTATAAAACAAACATGATAATTACTATATTTATCATGATATCTATTAGAAATCGTGGTTTTGTAATGTAAATTCAGATAGGTTATATCCTACGTGCTTCTTGCGAGTGTTTGTTTACTTTTGTTCCCGTCATACCTTAGATAATCTATAGACTAAAATGGCCGACAGCGTTTTCGTATGTCCATGAAAAATCTATTTTAAAATTAAAGTTATGTAGCTTTCTAGGTAAAAAAAAATTACACTATTTTCTTTTCGGTCTAATTGAACAATTATTAACCATTTAAAACATATTTCCAAAAAGTGTCAACTAGCTAACTAGAGGTGACCCTCTATTAGCTGATAGTTGGTCGGGTAAGTTCACGTGACTTAGTTATTTAGCATTTTTGGAGTTTATTTTTAATCGTCGTCTTTCTTAGCAGTTATCATTTTAAACCAAATACGCAGAAAAGTTCACCCAGTAACGTTTATTAGTGATTAATTAAACAAAATAATAACAGTGTTGCCTAGAGCGCGATTCGACAATGAATGAATAAAGGTGAGCAACTCGCTCCCTGGCGCGATATCTGTGTACGGAAGAGACGGTTAAACATGGATAGCTGGTTTAAGCTGAAGCATAAATTTTAAACTAACGATGACTAACGCTAATAAATTACAGTGGAAGAAAAGAGTAAGCACCGATAATCGATTTTAGCTGAAGTAAGTTATAAAGCGTCATATAAAAGATATTTAGTAAAAAACAAATTAAAATTCAGTATCTTCTTCTACTTGCCTCAAATATAACGCAAACAATCTTTATATATATAATTCTTCTGTGAGTGTGTATGTCACTGAACTTCTCTTAAACGACTGGACCGATTTTGATGAAATTTTTTGTGTGTGTTCAAGGGGATCTGAGAATGGTTTAGATTCACAATTTTGTCCGCTGGACAACCCCTATTTTTTTAGGGCGGTACGAAGTTCGCTGGGTCAGCTAGTAATATATAAAATATACTATATTTCTTTTTTTTGCAAAAAGCTACTTACATTTGCTAGTTTTTACTACATCTAGTAAAATTAAAATATTTGGTAAAATTCAAACAGTCAAAGCCAATTACCGTGGGATACCTAATTTAAGCGGAATAATCTCACAGGATATTTACTCTAAGTGTCTACATGAAAAATGAGTTTAAATCCGAAACATGGTTTCAGCGGTAATACATTTACAAACTTAAGTGTTTTAAATGGGTTTATTAGGTTTTTAATCAAGAATTTTGGAAATAATTTGCAGTTATTCTGTTTTTCACTAGCTATTTCAGAAAGTATGCGTCGTAAAGCATAATGGGTTTTACCTGTAGATGCGGCTTAATGAGACGGGTCGATTGGTATAATAAAAGTTCAGTAGGGTCAAAGTGCAGATAATCGGTTTTGGCACTTAGGGGACGACAAAACTTGTTTACCACATCAAGAATATTATGTACTGTTTAGACCACTCCCATGTCATTATTTGCTTCAATTTAATTGTATGCAACAGGCAAGAAACTTGCATCGTGTAAATGGCGCTTCAATCATCATTCGTCAAATAAGCAACAACAGCAACAATTTAAGTTTATTTTTATTGTGTGACTATGGAACCGGTAAGAATACGAAACGTCAAGATATAGGCAAAAATATACTTTGCCTCAAACATGCTTTGCAATTTAAGCATTATTTTTGCTGAACTGGTCAAACATACATGCGAGCAGCGGCTGGCAAAAGTTGTTTTAAAATCCTTATCTGTCGCAAAGTAAATTACATAGTAAACTCATATCTGTCGTGTTATTTAACAATGGAGCGATCTTTTACTCCGAAACATGCCAACCAAGGAGGTAACTTATTAAAGGTTTTATTTAAATTTCGAACTGACTTGTCAATAGAAAGCTGTTTACTGAAAAGAAAAACAAATGAATGAGTTTTAATGTACGTCATTTATTTTGAAAATAATAAATTCTGCCTAGGTACTACTTAGTTTTAATTGCAGCGCATGATTTGAGAAAAAATCTATACAAGCCTTGGCCACAGCTAGGCATTGATGGACTTACGTTGTGTTCGCTTCGCCTTGGCCTCTGATCTGCTCATCCTTCAATGCCTCTTTTCCTGGCCGCTGCAGTAATGTACTGTATCTGTAGTGTTGTGTCGTGATGTGATGCGTAGCGTTCACGTCTATCTGATGCGTAGTTGCCAGAACATAACTTCTCTGACATTTTGCGTTACCTTTGGCCCTGTGGTGTTACCCTACTCAAAACGTTAAACTTTTGCCGTCCTTTTAAATTGATA